ATGGTTTATGCCGCTTTAAGCAATATTCCAACAATATCACGGCGGGGGACACCAGAAACAGGCTTCACACATTGTACCCATGTGGGGAATCGAACCCAGGTCTTTGGCGTGACGAGCGAACGTTTTAACTTCTAGACTACCCCACCGTCCCTTTTTAGGTGAACAATTAACTAGCCTTTCCATGTGCTTGGGACGGGTGACATAGGTGGGACAGGATAAGGCTCACGTTTGTATACACCACCACAATATATCTGCTTTTTGGGGTCTTACGGATACGGAAAGGTTTCTATCGATTTTAATGATAATAACTATATATTTCCCAATAAGTATATGATATGAGAATGCATGCGAGTTGTAACCACCCCTCATGGGGCTTTTCAATAAAACCCACCGTTATTTCTGTCACCTTTTGTAGCTTCATAAAGTTCCTCAAAGTACTATGAGCATTACTCCCAACATAGTTTTGTTCACAGAATTATATTTTTTTGAAACACGCCAAGTCTCTTTCATTAAACCACGTTTGTCAACCAGAAACAGTATACACTGATACTGATAGCGAAAGTCATATATCTTTATTACGTCGAGCTCAACCACAGTATTCATGCCACGTGCCTGGTAAGACATGGATACGCCATGATGCGGCAATATGAATGTTGCTCGGGGCAAACATTTGAAATTAGGTCTGGGGTAACCTAATGGTTTAAGCGTTCGCTCGTCACACTAAAGACCCGGGTTCGATTCCCCATATGGATACAATATGTGAAACCATTTCTTGTGTCCCCCAATGTGATATTGCTGGAATTTTGCTAAACGCGACATCGACGTTACTGAAATTACGTCTCCTGATTGTCAGCTCAGTCATGATAAGTACATACTTGTTCCCGAACATCAGCTAAAACCATCCAGTTCTTCAAAATATAATGTTTATCAAAATGAATATTGTATTACAGGTTACAGGAGCCGATGATAACATATTGATACTACAATCGGTAAATAGTGTGTAATAAGACCCGCATCCAAACTGCAATATATTCGTGACTCAAGGCTACTCCCATTTCAAAGGCTTTAGGAGATATGTAGGAGCTATTCATACTTGCCGTGCTGCCATGCTGGTTCGAATAATGAAATGAGTTATTACTGTTTATTTCAATCAATCTTTGTACATTTAGATGAGTAGGTCAAGTACCCACAACAAACAGCATCATTATTGAAGGGTGACCAAGACGCGTAGGTCGGTCATCATGAACATGTACCGACCTTTGTTTGTAGCACTCATCAATATTACAGCTATATGACGGCGGTCTGTAAATAATCAAGTCTGGACCAGAGAACCCAGTGATCAACATCATGAGCATCGATCCACGCAGTTAGTATTGGTATACGATGACATGTGTCAACTAAGTCAGCGAAATCGACATTAATACACACTTAAAAAAAAAACAAGAAAAAAGAGAAGCATGGGTGATTTTGAGAGTATAGGACTCATGTAGCTGTGTCAAAGACAATACAAATATACTATTTCTTTCCAAGACCAATTCACCCCAAGATCGCCCGAGAAGCGGCCGCCCAAGAGTTACCACCCAAGTCCAGGACCGCTACATCCGGGTTGCTCACTTGCGTCATCGTCTTGTCACAACCATGGAGACTGCACTACGCATCCCTGTTTGAGAAGAATTTCAGACCAAATTGTTAGGAATCGATTGTGTGAAGTGGGGATTCGAACAAGTTTTCGCCCCTGTTTTGAGAGACTTCCATCGGCGCAATCGCTTACGGTGGTGTCGTAGAGTCCGGAACTGGAATCTTAGAAACTGGAGGCGAGTCTGGTTCAGTGATGAATCACGATGTCTTCTTCAACGGCGAGATGGAAGGCAGCGTGTTTACCGTCGGAGAAATGAACGTTTTGCCCCTTATTGCATTCGACAGGTCGACAGATTCGGTGGAGAGTGTGTCATGGTGTGGGGTGCAATATCCAGCACACAAAGATCTGATTTAGTGGTGGTGTGGTTCAGGGGAATTTGACTGCAAATCGGTACATCAACAAAGTCCTTGCACGTAACATACTTCCTATTACGGACCGACAGAGGGAGTTGTTCCAGCATGACAACGCTACTTCACATACAGCACGCGTCACGGTCTGCCACCTTGCCAATTCTAACGTCAATGTCTTACCATAGCCTTCCCGTTCACCAGATCTAAACCCAATAAAAAACATATAGGATGAACTCGATCGACGTGTACGTCAACGTCAAAACACGCCTCAGACACTTCCACATATGGCCATCGCATTGCAGGAAGAGTGGGGAAGAATTCCGCACAAGAGACTTCGTCGACATATCCAGTGTGTGCCGAGACCGTGCCGAGCAGTATTTGCTGCCAATGGTGGCCATACCAAGTACTGACTTTGACGCCATCTTGTGGACTCAAGTAAACAGAAACACATCAATAAAGGTTGCTGTACTGTTGGCGAACTCTTTATCTAAAGACGTGTGAATTTTTAACCTTTTACCATTGAAATGTCATGAAATCATTGCTCTTAAACTAACGCAATAAATTCTTCTATAAATGGCTTATGCGTTACTTTTCTGAAGAGTGTATATCAAACCTATGTGATGTCTCAAAGTTTGTTTGTAAGCAAGAAGAAAATGATATCCAACTTAAACGAAATGTGATATTTATATTCCTCGTTTTAATCTTTCATCCTGTGCTACCATGATACTTCAGATAATAAATCTCTTACTGCTAATGCAATTATTCGGTTTTACACATGTTCATATTAATAACAGACTTTTATTGGATCAATATATACAAAAGAGAAGCTTTAGCGTCTGATTTCAAATTTAATGACAACAGAAAGATAATATTTTCTAAATTTCATTAAAGTAAACAGAGAAAAATAGTACAGACCAGTTCCTTAAAGGAATGGACGTTTTCTAAACGTCAGCACTTGGGAACGTATATCTAATTCAGAATTATGCTTAGGTTTTTGTGAACATACATACATTACCATTCTAACGTAACAGAACGTTTTGATTATATCATAATTACAGACACTCATGAGACTTTTAGTCAGCTAGGTATTTTCATTTTGTAAGACCCATGAAGATCCGGTTAGAATTGGTCTTCAGTAACCCATGCTTGTCGTAAGAGGCGACTAACGGGATCGGGTGGTCAGGCTCGCTGACTTGGTTGACACATGTCATCGTATCCCAACTGCGTAGATCGATGCTCATGGTGTTGATCACTGGACTGTCTGGTCCAGACTCAATTATTTACAGACCGCCGCCATATAGCTGGGATATTGCTGAGTGCGGCGTAAAACAACAAATCCAACAAAACTTTTATGCTATAATGACACAGGTCTATGGAACATTCCAACGGGTGTTGCAACTGAAGTTACATACCTCGACACATACAAAATAATGGCTAAGCGTTTCACTTAGAGGAAGATTTTCAAAAAAATTGAATCTACAAATATTTTGGGGTGGAGCGTTCGCTCTTCACGACGATGACTCAGATGGAATGGGTACTTCTATAGCCCTAAATTCCATACACCAAGTGCATGCTCGAAGCGCATACAAACAGACAGTTCATGATTACCCCGGATAACCCAAGCTGCCTGTGAGGCGCTAGAAGGTTATAGTCACATGACTTATCCCACCGGGTACCCATTTTCTACTGGGTGAACAGTTTTGAAAAAAACTCACTTGCCAAAGGTGAGACCACATGTATCACATGTGCTTCATTGTGGGGCAGGACTGAAGTCTTAAAAAATCTCAGAAGCCTAGCTGCCGAAAGCGGTCACCCATACAAGGACTCTCCGCGCCCAACGTTGCTTAACTTCAGCTGACATGTGACCTGAGCACTTTGGCTATCCTCCATAACCACCTGTAGAAAAAGAGCCCAAAACATAAACATATCGTGTCCACTTTATTGATAAACAATGCCTTCCAACAGTAAACATACGCAGTCGGGACGAGGCCATTCTGTGTATGATAGCTACTGCCTCTTCGTTTTTGCGATAAACGTTCTGGCACGTCATGCCTGTCTGGATTTAAATAAAACTAATTAAAAAATAATTTTTTTTTAACAATATAGAAGGAATTTTAAGAATGTGTAGAGCAAATACATGTCATAAACACCCGTTTAAATTAAACAGAAATGCATCTACTTTCACGGTGCCACTCGATGAGAGATATATCATTTCCTCAGACACATGAAATATCCTCTACATATTTAAAGCAGTTGAACTTAATATATTAAACACCAGATTTTAATTACCTCCTCTGGCAGTGTCATGTATCCCTTACACCGTCTCCTCTCCTTTCCATCTTTATAGCTGACACGCTATGTAAGACGAGTAATAGGAATATCTTGTTTATATGCCTTGGGATGTTTCCAAGTTTATAAAGTTTAATTTAAAGAATATATTTAATATGTCAGATTATATGTGCAATTAAAGGGAACACCCGCCCCCGGATTTTAACTGACATCAATACGATGCAGACTCGGCTGAGCCAGTCTATACCAGGAGTCATGTGTAAGTCGTATGGCTATTAGTCTTTGCTGTAGGGTGTAAATCAAGTCGAAGTTTTTTTTCCTTTCAGCAAGAGTGTAGGATAAAGACGTCGTAGAAAGAAGCGTTTCAGTTCACGTGTACTGGAACGATGTGATAGCCTACAGGTTGAAGCGTTCGCTCGTCATGACATCGTGAGTTTGAATATCATGCGTGACGACCATTTCTGGGGCGGTGGGGTAGCCTAGTTGTTAAAGTGTTCGCTCGTCAAAGCGAAGACCCAGGTTCGATTCCCCACATGGGTACAATGTGTGAAGCCCATTTCTGGTGTCCCCCCGCCTTGACATTACTGGAATATTACTAAGAGCGGTGTAGAACCAAACTCACTCACTCACTCATTTTACTGTAGTTATAGGTTCAGTATCTATTTGCGACTTTTATGCCCGTTATATTGTTTAGGCCCTGATTAAATATGTGTGATGGGAAGGGGTATTCTCAGGACGTCGACCCTCCAAAATTTCCCATTCGCAGGAAGGTGACCTCCAGTTTGTCTTTGATGTTTGATGTTGTTATAACAAGGGACTAACAAGGGGCTGCCGTCAGTGGGTCATCTCAAAGTGACTACAGGCCCTGACTGGCAGCGAACAGTGTTCACTCCAATCAACTCAAAGATTACATGAAATGTATTCACTTCATTACAGGCCCTGACTGGCAGCGAACAGTGTTCACTCCAATCAACTCAAAGATTACATGAAATGTATTCACTTCATTACAGGCCCTGACAGGCAACGAACAGTGTTCATTCCAATCAACTCAAAGATTACATGAAGTGTATTCACTTCATTACAGGCCCTGACAGGCAACGAACAGTGTTCATTCACATCAACTCAAAGATCAAAGATTACATGAAATGTATTCACTTCATTACAGGCCCTGACAGGCAACGAACAGTGTTCATTCCAATCAACTCAAAGATTACATGAAGTGTATTCACTTCATTACAGGCCTGACAGAACGCAACGAACAGTGTTCATTCCAATCAACTCAAAGATTACATGAAGTGTATTCACTTCATTACAGGCTATTCCTGACAGGCAACGAACAGTGTTCATTCCAATCAACTCAAAGAACAGTGTTCATTCCAATCAACTCAAAGATTACATGAAGTGTATTCACTTCATTACAGGCCCTGACAGGCAACGAACAGTGTTCATTCCAATCAACTCAAAGATTACATGAAATGTATTCACTTCATTACAGGCCCTGACAGGCAACGAACAGTGTGTTCAATCCAATCAACTCAAAGATTACATGAAGTGTATTCACTTCATTACATGAAGTGTATTCACTTCATTACAGGCCCTGACAGGCAACGAACAGTGTTCATTCCAATCAACTCAAAGATTACATGAAGTGTATTCACTTCATTACAGGCCCTGACAGGCAACGAACAGTGTTCATTCCAATCAACTCAAAGATTACATGAAGTGTATTCACTTCATTACAGGCCCTGACAGGCAACGAACAGTGTTCATTCCAATCAACTCAAAGATTACATGAAGTGTATTCACTTCATTACAGGCCCTGACAGGCAACGAACAGTGTTCACTCCAATCAACTTAAAGATTACATGAAGTGTATTCACTTCATCATGTTCACTCAGTGTCATATTAAAGAACTCAGATAGATTGTAAGTTTCTCCCAACAGCACGAGGTGGCAGGTATTTATGTGTAGCTGACTTTATGTATAGAATTGGTAAAAGAAAGAATGGGGACTGGGTTTTCTTGGAAATGCACTACCAAAGGCTGCAGTGCCACTGTTTCCACTGTGATGACATCCTGACGAAGGGGGCTCACAACCATAACCATCCCACGGTCCACAACGACATTAAGATAAGTTAAACAACACATAATTTTATTTTAAACGAGACATGTAAAATAATGTATACACAGATCACATTTCAATAAATCAGAAAAATGCTTTTTCAGATTATATTGATGGGAAGTACTTGTCAAGCTACATACAGTCCGTTTGACTTCATTTGAGACCGATGAATTGCTCACTAACACAGAATCTAATACATGCAACAAAATCAAACTTTGCACAGTCGCATGAAATCGACAGACCAACTCTGATGATTTGTCTCATAATTTTGGACACCCGAATAAAAAAGTTGTTTAACAAACGATCGTTTTTGGTTGTCACTTTTCGCTGTTTCTTACGAGGGAGGACCACTTGCTGGTAGAACAGCCAGGTGTGCGAGTTGTACGTGTGAAATTGAAATTTCACTGTACACGCTTGTTGGTTACCTGGCTGTTCCACCAGCAAGTGGTCCTCCACTCCGTCCGTCACTAGTACTTCATTTCCAGACATGGTTAGACATGTTGCGATGCGTGTACCAATCTCTAATAGACTGAGATATGGTCATCGTAAAAATGCTCTTGACATCAGCTTCACTCCCAAATACTCTCACGTCCTTCTCACTAGATGTCTTAATTTACTCAGGTGGCTCCAACGTTGCCTTCTAAAATGAATTTCTTGTTTACAAACAGTCTAGCGCCTCTTTCGATGGAACTATCAATGTATCTTAGCGAGCATAGCTGTAGATTGTTCAAGACCATCTCGCACAGCGTGAGCTTCAAAGGTAACCTGTTGACTCGAGGGGACGGAAAATCGGTTGAACACAGCATTCAAGAATATTTTGACCAACATAGCGACGTGTGTGTGTGAGAGAGAGAGAGAGAGAGAGAGAGAGAGAGAGAGAGAGAGAGAGAGAGAGAGAGAGAGAGAGAGAGAGAGAGAGAGAGAGAGAGAGAGAGAGAGAGAGAGAGAGACATGGGCGATCCTCTGGTTATCTTTGGATAATACTGCCACTTGTTTGTGTCCCATTGCCCCATTGACAGAGTTAAAATTGATATTGTAGTATATATGTAGCGCTATGAGCATACACAAAGTGTATGGAGTTGGTGCCATATAAATACACTCATTATTATTATTATTATTTATTATTTCCAGGTTTGTCCACACCACACCCATGCACGTGCTTAATTTCATCGAAAAACGACTGAAACCTTTAAGGTTTCCTCTCAGCTGACACGCCCTGCTTTAACTGGAATGCTGTTCAGTATGGCGCTAAATCCACCTCACTCACTCGTTCTGTTCTCGTAACCGTGAAGATCTGGATCAGAACTGATCTTCAGCAACCCCTGCATGTTTGTCGTAAGAGGCGGCTGACGGGATCAGGTGGTCAGGCTCGCCTTTCACCGTATACCATTTGCATTAATCAGTATCAATCACCGGATTAATTGTGTTTTTCGGGCTATTAATTAACAGACTATCGGCATGTAGCTGGAATATTACTTGTGTGGCCTTAAACAACAAATGAACGAACAACACCGTGACCTTGATATTTCAAACTTGAGACTGTCTGATGCGCACGTAAAATCGCAATAAATCCATGCCCGTGCACCAAACGAGTTGCATTTTCAGAGTATCAGTAATATAAGGTGACCCTAGACTAACAAGGAAATTGATAAACGGAGAATAACAGTCCAGCCGCAAATAGTTCCAGCCCCAGTTACATAACATGGCGTCCGCTGCAAACCGAAGGGTAAGTGAGTGAGTTAGGTTTTTCACCGCTTAAGCCTTATAGCTATGCTCCAGTAAAGTCGGACACCAGAAATAGGATTCACACATTGTACCCATGAACGCTTTAACCACTAGGATAGTCCACTGTCCGCTTCCCGAAGCAATGCCGGTATCAGCAGAAATGAGTGAGTGAGCGAGTTTAGTTTTACGTCGCTTTTAGCAAATTGAACCCATGTGGGGAATCGACACCGGACCTAATCTGAATTGGTTAAATTTCATTTACTCAAACACTAAATGGCAACCGACCACCAGTTGGACACCTTTTTGGGGGGGTGGGGAGGTATCCGTGCCGATTGGTCGTTTTTCCTTTTCACTGCATCTTTATTACCACATAAAATTCCACGATTTTACATACTCCTGTTTGTACACAAACTCTACACTCAATTTATATTTCTCCGAGGGAAAAGCGAAACGTTTCAAATACCTGAATAATGTGGCTGGTATATCACTTGTGTGGCTCCGCCAATGGGTTTCCTTATGGGTCCAATTTTAATGTGTTAAGTTGTTTCTTATGTTAAGGGATTATGATAAATGATAAATACGGACACACCAACACACACGCAGAGAGCAGAGACACACGCAGAGAGAGAGAGAGAGAGAGAGAGAGAGAGAGAGAGAGAGAGAGAGAGAGAGAGAGAGAGAGAGAGAGAGAGAGAGAGAGAGAGAGAGAGAGAGAGAGAGAGAGAGAGAGAGAGAGAGAGAGAGAGAGATGGGCGATCCTCTGGTTATCTTTGGATAATACTGCCACTTGTTTGTGTCCCATTGCCCCATTGACAGAGTTAAAATTGATATTGTAGTATATATGTAGCGCTATGAGCATACACCAAGTGTATGGAGTTGGTGCCATATAAAGGGACTCATTATTATTATCATTATTATTTATTGTTTGCAGGTTTGTCCACACCACACCCATGCATGTACATGTACATAGTTTCATCGAAAACGACTGAAACCTTGGTGGAAGGGTTAACCAAGGGTGGGGTTGGGAAGGGTCACACAGACATATCTATATAAATCAGGTTAATCAGATTCTCTTGTGGCTAACATGCCTAATGTGCCTAACTGAATCCGTATGTGCTTCACGGACTCTCATGTTAAAAACAAACAGGTAAGAAAGATAATTTAACGAGGAGAACAATGTTCATCTTTGATAACTCATGCAATGCACAAACACTTTGTGGCAGCGCGACTTCCACAAACAATTGTGATAAATATATTGGGATACAACTGGCTACATACTAATTTTTGACGACTCTATATTTCGTGTATACATTAAATTAATACAGATCCTGTTTTTCCTATGCAGATTGTAACGACATTAACAAACCGGAAATACATAGGAAAACGACAATCATGGCGGCAAAAACGAAAGTTGACAACATTCAACAGATGCCATGGACTGATTTCAATGTATGTCGGAAGACTTTTGTTTTAATTTTGTTTGGATGTGTTATTATAGATAGAATCCTGCCTCTAGTATATCTAGTTGTTTGTTACAGTGGTTAGTAGTAACTGCCAGAACGGAATATCTTCGTTAATTTGGCAAATATGGATTGGATATTATCACGAAACATCTTAATCTAACAAAGATTTAATGTGATTATATTATAACAAATGAAGGCGTCAGTTAAAGTCATATGAGTCATGAACTAAATTACTTACGAGACAACAACTTCCTATATTGATGAACAATCGTGTGACAGAAATAGAATAACATACCGTCAGTGGCGTCACCTGTTTTCGTGGTATTTTGATACTACTCGGTCTCGCAATGAAAGAGACCGGGCGCAGCATGTATTTAGCTAACTGGATGAAAAGTTTTTGTCAGATTTACGGATTTGGTTGATAAAATATAGTGCAGAAGGTAGACAAATAGTCACACATGCCAATAAAATTATAGATTTATCAAATTACTATTTTATGATGCCATTTAATTTAAATATTCCTTCTTGGTTTTAAATTTTGAATTTCAATTCCAGTATTGCTACTACTAGAGGCATCAATGGAGAACGGTGGCCTTACAGATGAACAGAGGAGGAAGATAGAAGAAAACCGCAGACGAGCCTTGGAGCGACGTCAACAAAAGAGTCCACAGAAAGCATCTCTTCTTGTTCAGACTGTCACTACGACCAATATCATTCAGGCACCTCCTCAATTTCCAGGATACAAAGGACTAACAAGCAGTTTAGGTCAGGCAACTGCAAGAAGCAATGGGACAAACTCCTGTCAGCAGAGTTCAAAGCCCCTTTCTTCATCACTAGGATCACTTTCCACAGATAAAGCATCACTTCACAGTAACCAGTTTCAACAGTTCAGCTATTCCAGTTCTTCTGCCCAGAACAAATCTGGTGGATGGAAAAATGCCAGAACCAATTCCTCCAGCACAACAAGTAGCTCATATCAGTCTGGAACTAAGAAAGATCCTGTGTCAGCCAAAGTGTTCTATTCCCAAAATACAGTGAAAGGACATTGTGTGTTGGAGTCGAGGGAAACGTTCCGGGTGGACGTTGGCTATCATGTGGGACTGGTGGAGATATTTAAATCCCTCAACACAAAATTATATGGTAAACATTTGATGAAAGTTTGTATTTTAATGTTTTGAATGTTTTTATCATGTCATGTTAGATTGAAGAACAATCATCTCCTGTCACTGTGAACCTGGAGAGTATGGTTTACCAGAACTTCCAGTTTGGGCCGACATCATCTGCTGCTGATATTTACTAGGATGGTACTACACTGACAGACATTGTTCTCTTCCAGATGCTGTCAGTAGAAAGTGGAGCTTTAAGCTAGAAGATTATGACAACCTATGTGAGTAACACATGTTTGCTTTATTAATTAATTAGTTAGCACTTCACTTAGCATCAACAGCAAACTGTGTTTGGATTCTGTGTTAGAATAGACATGCAGCAATCTACTACCTATGCTGGTACTTGTGAAGATTCGGGTAAGAAATTCATCATCGGTAACCCCTGCTTGCCTAAGTTGCCACTCACGGGTTCGGGTGGTCAGGCTTGCTGACTTGGTTGATGCATGTCATCATATCCCAGTTGCGTGTTCTGATGCTGATATCAATCACTTAATTGTCTGGTCCAGGCATGATTGTTTACAGGCTGCGGCCGTATAGCTTGAATATTGCTGAGTGCGGCATTAAACAATAAACAAACAAAAACAAACTTTACACACAAAACAGCTTTGTTATATGGCAGTGCAATTTATTGTAAAACATTGCTGTTATTTTATTACATTTTGTCGTGTTAATATTCAGCAGAAGTCGTAACCCTGTGTTTTTAACAATAGTTAGTCGTCAGGAATGTCTTACTATCATATGTATGCAGTGGTGTGGAAGTTGCTCTATTTTGACCTTTTTGTGCCCAAGTGTGGTTGGGAATCTTCGAGAACAGGATAAATTAACATGATTAATTTGGCAGTGTGTAGGACATCCTGGATGGATTTTGACACTGAGGGGTGGGGATGGTTGATTGATTACATCAAGACTTGTGGTTGTCTGGGGACCATCTTTTCACCCTTGATATCCAATCAAAAACTGTTTCTGCCAGATGTATATTATTATCAATGGCTTTATTAGTACATATAGACCATGCGTTCTATACATTATAAACTCCATATGGTGTATATTGCAGTGAAGGCTGTGAGCCCCCTGAAACCCCAGGTCCAGCTGGAGCCCCTCCCCAGAGCTGTACTGCAGACGTTTGCCAAGCAACTCCGGGGCACCTACGAGTCCAGTGACATCCCTGATGCTGACCTCTCAAAGTCGATTCTGTACTGGTCGATGCCCTCATGCCCTTCCAGCGACTCGGTGTCAGGTAGGAACAGGGGTCGTTAGCAGATTTAAAGAGTCAGAGTGCCACAGTATTACAGAATGGAAGCTGAAAACACAGTGAAAATTGAGGATGGCTGTGTCATGTACACTGTTGAATTTAGTCTGCTACACTGTCATATCATAACACCTGACATATACAGAAGTGAAGTAAAATATATTGGCAAAAAGAAAACCTCTAGTTTGTTTAGCATATTGGGTGTCACTCGCTTAACAACGACATTATAATCTATGTCGAAACGTTGCCTTTCACAATAAAAGAAATTGTATATCTATAAAAATTGTCATCATTCTTCAACAATGCCCATCAAAGAAGGCATGTATCCGTGTTTTCTTAATTTTGGACTCATTTGGACCATGTCCCTTTACTTGATATCTTCACACACAAAGGAGTTCATTATGATTTGTCATGGTAGAATTGAGATAAACCTACACTGTTTCCCGTGTTGAGCTAGGTTAACTGTAGATAAAACTGAATTTGGAACTGAAAGCTCACATGTTGAAACAACAGGTTATGTATTGTAAGCTTTCACTTCCAGTTTTGCCATCCATAAGCAAGGCCGAGTGCTGCTAGCCGATGACATGGGTCTTGGAAAGACCATACAAGCCATCTGTGTTGCAGCCTACTATCGCCACCTGTGGCCCCTGCTGGTTGTCTCCCCTTCTTCTGTCAGGTTTGACTGGGCTCAGGTAGGTCTTCATGTACAGCTACTCTACATGATGACTGGGTACTAGACCTGTGTATGTGAAAAATATCTGAGTGAATGTAGGGAAGAGGAGCCCACGATACGATGTGTATCGTATGTATCTCGATAACGTGGGTGTGAAACGATTTGGTTTCTGAAGCTGTACTTTCATTTCATCATTTCGTATTCTGTGAATCACAACCCTGAAATATTTGTTTTCAAATTTCGATTTTACAACAATTGGATATTGTAGGGGGAAAAACATATAAGTGCTTGGTCCCTCAGCAGATTCTGCTATTTATAATTGACCAGGAAATACTGAAGAATCTGCATAAACTAGTTCTTGAACAGTTTCTGTTAAAATTCACGTTTTTACATCAAAATAACTTGTAATGAAGCGGATGTATATCGGTACAGGAGTTAGAAATCGATCTATTGTATGGGAGTCTCATATCGTGTGAACACTGTATTGCCGTATTGTTACATCCCCATGGGAAGGGGTCCGAAATGAGGGCTGTGGAGAAATGGAGGATGTAGTTTCTTGAATTTAGAGGAATTTGGCATTACATTTTGCAAAACAAGCAATAAATGTCTCTTTATTGGCTTTATCATCTGTGAAATCAGTGCCAGACCAAGCTGATAGATGTGTCTCCAACAGGTCCATGTACTCCCCTCGCTGTAGTTATCATGTTGTATGATGCAGCAAATACAGCGATGGATCCCGAGTCTGGATCCCCAGGAGATCAATGTTGTGGTGTCAGGCAAGTCCAGTTGTACCTCGGGGCAGGTGAACATCGTCAGTTACGACATTCTGGCACGGAAGGCTGAAGACATCAAGAAGAAACACTTCCAGGTGGTCATAATGGTGAGGAGGAGCTTGTGTTTTGTACGCAGCTGTTTTCTTTGTTATAGTTCAGTTTGAGCTAACCGCATGAGGTTATCTTAATGCAGAGAGTAGTCGTAAGAGGTGATGAACGGGGTTGGGTGATCAGTCTTGCTGATTTGTTTGACACATGTTATTGTATCCCAATTGCGTAGATCAATGCCCATGCAAGAACTGTGTTGGAAAAAGGAATCCTTAAATCCACTTTACATGTGGATGTCTACATGTAGCATGTGTGTTAATGTTTATATTGTTTCGTTCAAGGACGAGTGCCACTTCCTGAAAAACTTCAAGACTGTTCGGACAAAAGCTGCTCTGCCAATACTTCAGGTCTGTTTAGTGTGGTATGGTGTAGTGTGTTGCATGTGGCATGGTGTGGAGTGGTGTGTGGCATGGAGTGGTGTGGCATGGAGCGTTCTGTGGTGTGGAGCGGTGTGGTGTGGAGAGGCATGTAGTGTGGAGAGGTGTGTGGTGTGGAGAGGTGTGTGGTGTGGAGCGGCATGGCGTGGTGTGGAGAGGCATGTGGTGTGGAGAGGCATGTGGTGTGGAGTGGTGTGGAGAGGCATGTGGTGTGGAGAGGCATGTAGTCTGGAGTGGCATGGCGTGGTGTGGAGAGGCGTGTGGTGTGGAGTGGCATGGCATGGTGTGGAGAGGCGTGTGGTGTGAGAGAGTGTAGTGTGGGAGAGGTGTGTGGTGTGGAGAGGCATGTAGTGTGGAGAGGCATGTAGCGCGTGGAGTGGAGAGGCATGTGGTGTGGAAGGTGTGGTGTGGAGAGGCATGTGGTGTGGAAAAAGCGCGTGTGGCATGGAGAGGCATATTGTTTGGAGTGGCATGGCGCGGGTGTGGAGAGGAGTGGTGTGGAGTGGCATAGAGTGGTGTGGAGAGGCGTGTGGTGTGGAGAGGCATGTGGTGTGGAGCAGTCTGTGGCGTGGAGAGGCGTGTGTGGCGTGGAGAGGCGTGTGGTGTGGAGAGGCGGTGTGGTGTGGAGAGGCGAGTGGTGTGTCATGGAGTGGTGTGTGGAGTGGTGTGGCATGGCATGGTGTGAAGTGGTGTGGCATGGCATGGTGTGTGGTGTGGAGTGGAGTGGTGTGGCATGGAGCGTGGAGTGGTGTGGCATGGAGTGTTGTGTGGTGTGGAGTGGCATGGAGTGTTGTGTAGTGTGTGGAGTGGCATGGAGTGGTGTGTGGAGTGGTGTGGCATGGAGAGTTGTGTGGAGTGGAGAGGCATGGAGCGGTGTGTGGTGTGGAGCGGCATGGCGTGGCGTGACGTGACGTGTTATGTTGTCTTGTGTAGTGTGGCATGGCGTGGCATGGCATGTGCTGGGTGTGGTGTGGTAGGGGTGTGGTATGTCTGGTAGTGGTGTGGTAGTGATGTGTGTGGTGTGGTTGTGTGGTGTAATGTGGTGTGGTGTGGTGTGGTGTGATGTGATTGTGGTATGGCAAAGGATTCTGTGGAGTGGTGTGATTGACTGAGTTGTGAAGAGGACTGACTGACTGAGTTTGGTTTTACGCTGCTTTTAGCAATATTCCAGCAACATCATGGCAGGGGACACCAGAAATTGTGAAGAGGAGGAGGGTGGGGGCATTTTGAAGACTTAGGGGTCGACCCTATTATATTCTGGATGAGTGGTTGTTTTAATGACGAATGTTTTGTGTTCCTCCACCTCAAACAAGGATGCTCTTAATATTTTGTTCCTTACAACTCTTCCTCTCTCATGAAAAGTGATTTTTGATGACTACAATTTCAGGCTCTTATCTCTTGATTTCAAACAAATTATCTCTTGTTGCTAAAAGTATAAACCTTTATTGTCTTGTGTTGATTGTTTTACATCACAGATAAAACTCAAGTAAGAATCTCTATGTATTCACTACATGTGATAACATGATCTGTTGTCAGAGTGCCAGGAAGGTGTTGTTGCTGTCAGGGACACCGGCCCTGTCTCGTCCGTCAGAGCTGTACACACAGATTGTTGCTGTGGTTCCATCGCTGTTCAAGTTCCATGACTTTGGTGTCCGCTACTGTGATGGGAAACAGGTAAATGGGAGATTTGGGTCATTGAGTTATCAACTCGCTTGTGTTCATCACAATTGGGTATCCTAATTTTCCTTTGAGTATCTAAATAAATTGTACCAACCTCACTCAAACTCAATTGGGTATTTGCAATTTTCCATTAATTGTAAATATATTATAAAGTTAAATGCCGGTTTTCGTGTTTGTTCATGTGCTGAAATAGAACCTCTCAATGTACCTCAGTTATGCGTATTTCGTGTGTACACATGTAAGATCAAATTTATTGAGTATTTACAAAAATATAAGCGTATTTGTACGCAATGCACGCAATAGATGTAATAGAAATTGAGTTTTCACATACATATTTGCGGAATTTACGCAGATACGCAGCTTATTTGTATCTCTGAGCAACATTTACACATGTTGTTTATTCAACATTTGCACAGACAGTTGTTGTTTCAGCAACATTTACACAGGTTGTTGTTTATTCAACATTTGCACAGGCAGTTGTTGTTTCAGCAACATTTTCACTGACTGTTGTTGTTTCAGCAACATTGGCACAGGCTGTTGTTAATTCAGCAACATTTGCACAGGCTGTTGTTTGAGCAACACTTGCGCGGACTGTGGTTTCAGCAACATTTTCACAGGCTGTTGTTTCAGCAAAATTTTCACAGGCTGTTGTTTCAGCAACATTTACACAGACTGTGGTTTCAGCAACACTTGCACAGACTGGTTTCAGCAACATTTGCACAGACTGGTTTCAGCAACATTAGTGCGGGCTGTGGTTTCAGCAAAATTTTCACAGGCTGTTGTTTCAGCAACCGTGGGGCTGGGACTTCTCGGGGGCATCCAACATGGCGGAGCTTCAGCTGCTGCTTGAGGAACGGATCATGATCAGGTGAGACAACTGAAAGTGGTCTTCATAGGAACGAGGTGATATCTTGTATCAGTATTCAAACAACTCCATGCTTATCCAGCATACCCTAACTAAGATGACAGATAAATTTGAATACTAAGTTTGTTTGTTTGCACTTTCATCAGTGACATAGTTGATTGTGTATGAACTTACCCTCACACCATGGATCTTCACCGTAAGATATAATTCAGGGTTTTTTGGGCCCAAACTCATATATTTTTCCTTATCCTGACTCATGCTCTTTTGCTTGTCTTCTTCTTCTTGCGAACATAGTGGAACACTTGTATCTCCTTATTTGAAGCTCCCTTCAAAATAAAATCACTAATTGGTACTCACCACGAGTTGCTCCCCTTTGTTTCCCTTGGCGGGAAAGGTGTCGCCACCCTCTGGCCATGTGCTTCACTCTCTCCTTCTTCGCCCAGTGAGCAGGATGTGAGAGCGCCTCGTGTCTCCTTACACACCATATCCTTTGATAATCTTTTAGTTTTTACCTCTCATAGGTTACTATAGAGGTATAGCTAGTATCCTTTACTATTTGTATTGATTAATTATCGATTTCTACTGTTTATTCACGTGTATTCGTGATTGTTCAGCTAGCTTTACGTGGATGAAAATCTGCACGATTTGTAGATTACGTTTTTCTGCCTCCGATCCACATGTAATATGCCCTAGTTGTTTATACCGTGGCGCTTAATTCACGCTGCAGTTACTGCATTAATTTATCTCATTCTGCATTTAATAAATATCATCTTTGCGCCTTAAGACGCTGCAGATAGATCACGCCTAAAACAAGGGCAAAACATGGCAGAGAGTCCAGATATTCCATCCAGTCAGCTGCTAGCGATCGACCTCTCTCCGCCTGGTGTTCTGCTAGAGACCCCTTCGGTAGAGGAACGTGGGACGCAGTCCGTTACCTCGAAGAAACGACCGGCCTCCCCAGACATCCCGGCCATTGCAGACCAAGTCTAAGAGGGCCTCATCGCCGCTCTCAACGCAGATTGAGGACACTCCAGGGCAGCGCAGACTTCCAAAGGAAATTCCACGAAGACAGCAAGAACTTTCTCAGCCGAGATCGTTCCAGCAGCAGAATTGGGCCTCTACGATGATCAGCCGATAATCATCCCCGACTTACGGCAGAAGAAGCGATCGGTGTCAGCGACTGTGACTTCTGCAGAGATCACCATGCAGCCTGATGCCTCTACACCGACGCCAGACGCCATTGATGTGAACCCCATCGCAGAAAGAGACGCCCGACGACTTCGGCCACAGATCATCCCAGAAGACATGATGCGGCAGATTATGAACATCATGGAGGACCACTACAAACTGGCGCAAAGCAGGGTCCGAAGCCGACGAAGGCTCCAACGTGACAGCACCCCAGAGGCACCCCCGTCAACGTAGCAGCCAAGACGATGTCACCTTCGCTGAAGGAAGCCCCGCACCACCTTGGACGAAGGACCTAGATGTACAGCCTTCGGCGGCGGAGAGATCATCACCATCTTCGATTTCATCTCTAGATATGGACTCAGACCATCAGACATCACGGAGGCCTTCGCTGGAAGGTCATATCATCGATCCCCGGACCGGACGCTAAAATGAAGCTTCGCGAAGGCATTCGCTGAAGGACATATGATTCCAGATCCTCATCATCTAGAAGAACATCGAGGGACTCGCCGAAGAGCTTCGCTAAGCTATCAACATTCACCTCACAAGTCTCGAGAAGATCATCCCATAGACGATCTCCACTTCGCTTCATCACCAGGTCGATCACTCGGCCAGATCTCCACATAGAGCGGCGCACAAGTCAACTCCAGATCACCACAAACCTCATCAGATATACAGACAGCTACACGCAGTCCCTAAGAGCATCTACAATTTGTTAATGATGATGGTTTTGAGGATGATGGAGGAATCATATTTTCTGATGCAGAGATACGGTATTGGATGGTCAATAACCTAGATCTCACATCACCATCTAAAAGTGGCAATACAGCGCAGACGATTTGATGAAGGAAGATGATCCAGATGCAATCACTCTACCCCGATCGAATCTGGATTAAGCGGCAGTGCCACAGAATCTAGATGCAGCTTTCCAGAAAGCTACGAAAAGTTCAGACACCACATCTGCCCAACTTTCAAGCCAAGAAGTTCTCCACGCGATAACATGGACTCATTCTACAAGGCCCAGGACATCGATGAGAACTATAAGATCATCAGCGATGTAAAGAACAAGATTTACAAGATGGATGATCGCAAGTTGGCTCATATAGAAACCATGACGAGACGTGATGTTCTTTGGGTTAAATAGATCTAGGACGATCAATGAGACTCTTATTACTAGATTTCGATTCCACGACGGAAGATGATAGAATGATTTATTCTGCCTTACTTATGCAAAAGAAAGATCAGCAGTTTTTAACGGATCATCTTACATCTGTTTCAGCAGCATTGACCTTAGCTCGTCGCCAAGGGCCTCGCCTCCTGTAATTGGGGAGAACTTTACAGCCCCACTTTATACAGCCCCGGTGGTCGACAACATCCATCTTTGACGGAGAAATCGACAAAGTCGCCAATGAAGTCTCTATGATTCCAGGAAGTCCTTATGATTAGATCGATGGACACACTAGCCAGCGCCATTCGCCAGACTTCACAAAGATACTCAGGCAGATCTAAGTTCACGGGCCTACAAAGAGCAAGAGACAGGAAGATAGCCAGCTCTAGAGGTAAAGATTCTTTTCATTTCTATATGGCAACTATAGAGGAGGATCAGGAAGAGGCAGGACACCCAGAGGTTCCCGCAATTATAGACGCTGAAACACAGGTTCGAACGACTGGAGTCTTCCACCCCAGCCGCTCCAGTACAGCCAGCTCAAGTGGGTGGACGCCCAACTACACACTGGGAAAACTGGGGAATATTGCAAGACCCTTACGCCTCCAACATTCTTCAACACGGATTTCGTGATCCCCTACAGGTTAAGCCTCGCTGACAATCAAACCCCCAAGTTCGATTTACAAGCGCAACAACTACCAAAGATAAGAGAGGCTGTTTCATCACTCCTATCCAAACAGGCCATAGAAGTAATAGATCAAGCAAACGCCGAACCAGGTTTCTACTCCCCAGTTTTCCTAGTTCCCAAGAAAAACTCCACGGAGAAATACAGACTCATCTACAACATGAGCTTTTTCAACAACAACTATCTACTTGAAACCAATCGGTTTCAGATGATACATTTACCTCAGTTACCAGATGATTCGTCCTATGGACTACATGGGCAGCATAGATCTACAGGATGCCTACCTGCACATCCCCATTCATCCCGATTCCAGGAAATACCCACGATTTACTCTAGAAGGGCTACATTACCAGTGGAAAGTAATTCCCATTCGAATATCATCAGCCCCCTGGCTATTCACGAGGATAACGTAAACCGATTATCAAATTTCTACATCGTCCAAGGGCTACGCGCGCAGCGCTTTACCTCGACGACGGATACAAGTAGATCAAGATCCACTGCGTCCTCAAACTACAGTTAAATTACATCATAAAGCTACTAACACAACTAGGTTGGTTAGTAAACTTACGCAAGTCGGACCTAGTACCATCGCAAGACCTGCAGTTCCTAGGTATTCGATTCATCACAAATCGCTAACCGTGATTATGGTACCAGAAGACCGCTATTCAAGATACAGCAGACCATTCCACCAGCTCTACTCTCTCCGCTACCACTCGCGACAATGGCAGAGCCTACTAGGTCTTCTCACATCAGCCCAAGACATGACTGTCACAGGCAGATTACAGTTACGCCCCTACAGGTCCTCATCAACGCACATCTCAACGATGTACAACCATTCAGTCTACCAAACATCTCAGACCGCATCTACTATGGTGGACCGAGAAATCGAATGTCTGCGAAGGGATTTGTTTAGCAGAGCAGGAATACAAAACCCATCTGTATGTAGACGCTGTCACCCAAGGTTGGGGAGCTCATCTCACCAACCACACGATATCAGGATTATGGAATCAGCAAGAATGCAAACTCCTATATAAACAGTCTAGAAATGAAAGCTGTAATCAACGCCTATTCTACATTGGAGCACATTTCTACAAAATGCCCTAATGATCCATACAGACAATTCGACAGTGGCTTCTACATAAACAAGCAAGGCTCAACGAGATCGATGAACCTTTTGAACCTAAGCTTTCAACTGTTCGATTTAATACAAGATCTAAATCTACATGTCAGAGCAGTGCACATTCCTCGAGCCAGAAATATACTAGCAGACGCTCTCTCGCCTCATCTACCATCACCGACAGAGTGGATGATCAACAGGGAAATTTTTGCACAGATAATCAAGCAATTAGGAGCTAATAGACCTATTCGCCACAGCGATTCAACAATCAGCTACCGACATTCGTGGTCACCAGTCCCAGACCCCAAGCTTGGGCAACGGACGCCTAAGTCTATCATGGAAGGCTTCCTCAATGCGCATCGCTTCGCCAGCAATAATACCTCAAGTATTACAGAAAATCAGACAAACACAGAGCCTACAACTCACTTTGGTCGCTACTCTTACTGGTCGGCCAGAACGTGGTTTCCATACTAATTCAAGAAATCGGTCAACCAACACTGGAGCTACCAAAGCGCCAAGAAACCTGTTAATTCATCCTCACACCAAACAAGTGCACGGAAACCCAGCAATGTTCCAACTACACATTATGGACTGTATACAAATGTGTTTAAACAAGAGAGGATATTCGCCAGGGCGTAAAAGCAGTCACGCTTTTGTTTTTACGCTATCAACTCGTGAACTTGTACGACGCGACAAGTGGCACAGTTTCAAAATTATGCAACAAAGAAAGGGTTTACAGCAAGAGAGGCTTCACAACCTCAAGTGGCAGACTATTTGTGTTACCTACGCCAAAACAAACATTTAAAAGGTTCAACGATATCAACATATCTTGTCGCCGCTTTAGTTCTGTAATCACCATGAGAACGGGTGTCAAATTGACAAGATCTCCAGAGTTACTGGCCTTTACTACGAAGCCCGATTGGAGGACCAAAGCGGAAGTTCCAATTTTCCAGCTTGGGATCTGAATGTAGTGTTACAACACCTCACGAAAGTGAGGTCTATGAACCTTTGGAATCGATAAACTTTGAATTTCTCTCACAGAAAACACTGTTTCTGCTATCGCTAGCCACAGCAGCAAGAATGTCTGAAATTCACGCCTGGATTACGAGGATACAGTTTGATGACAATCATAACACAGCGCACCTCGGATTAAGATGGGATTTCATCGCTCAAAAAAATCAACTGCCAGGTCAACCAGACAGATTATTCCACATCCCGGGCGCTTATCCTCTATTCTCGGATCACAAGATACACAAGACCTATCACTGTGTCCGTAAGAGCTTCAAAGTTTATTTCTACGACGATCCAAAACAAGGAGAAGATTTCTCAAACGCTTATTCATCCCCTTATCGCCCACGAATCAAACAGAAGTGTCACGGACCACAATATCTATTTGATAAGGACTGTCATTCTCCGCGGCCTACAAGGCAGCAGGTTTGGACCCACCAACAGCATCAAATCCACATGAGATCAGGGCACTGGCCTCTACCCTAAGCCTCTACACGGTAACTGTTCCTTGAACACGATTATGGAAGGATGCTATTGGAAATCTAACATGGTATTTGCTAATCACTACCTGAGAGACATCACTACAGAAGATGTCTCTGGCATTCACCATTTTCGACCACTGGTCCTCGCCAGCAACTGACAGTCCTCGTGAGGGCGTTAAAATATTATCCTCACAAGATTAATATGTATTTTATACATACTCATCTAGCTTATAACTCTACGGAGTTTTAGGGCTATGTATATATGTTCAGCTTAAGTATTCAACCTTAAGCATATACTTTGGTATAGTCAATTTCAGTGCCTCTATCAGAGTCACCTATATATATATATATAATTTATATGTGTTGTTCAATATATTCATAATGTAATTCCCCTTTAATGGCTTTATATAACCTATGGTTTTCTTTATACAGGAAACATCCTAAATCTAAGCCTTCATGAAGTTCCCGTAGGGGATATTACAGTATATCTATACAAAATCACTAATTATAAATCCAAAGTATTCTGTTACCCACCTCCGTCTCGAGAGGATGCTACAAGTAAAGAGCATGAGTCAGGATAAGGAAAAATATGTAATTTTTAGAGTAAAATTGATATTTTATACTTATCCTGACTCATGAGGTTAGCCCTCCCATCCTCCCCACATAACACTTTGGATTTCCCTGTAAGTTCAAGTGTTGGGCTCGCTAAATCAGGAGAGAGTGGAGCACATGGCCAGAGGGTGGCTTACACCTTCCCGCCAAGGGAAACAAAGGGGAGCAACTCGTGGTGAGTACCAATTAGTGATTTTATTTTGAAGGGAGCTTCAAATAAGGAGATACAAGTGTTCCACTATGTTCGCAAGAAGAAGAAGACAAGCAAAAGAGCATGAGTCAGGATAAGTATAAAATATCAATTTTACTCTAAAAATTACATTTTTAACAGGCTGCTGTCTTTTAGTAAGGATAGTGTGATGTGCAGGGTAAGACTACTAACATTCAGTCAGCTCATAAGCCTTTGAAAGGCAGTTCTGATTAAAGTTCCTGGTTGAAGGCGACAGAAGAAGGATGTGTTGTCCCAGCTTCCAGCTAAGGTCCGTCAGATGGTGTTGCTGGATCCGCAGTCCATCAAATCCAACAAGGACCTGAAGAACTCCTCCAAACTCCTTGATCACAAGAACCTCAAGGTGAATGTTTGGAAGTCACAGAGTTCATTTTCACCAACAAGATCCTTTGAGCTAAGGGTTCAAATCGTAGTTTAGTTCTGGACTTGTCAGTACCATACCTCTGTTTGTAGGTATCACCAAAGAAATAAATGTGTAGAACCTGCATCAATTTTGCCATTTCTCCCACATTAGGCTGACACACCATGTTGGCATCTTCCTGGGCTGGGCGGTGGTGTAGCCTAGTGGTCTAAGTGTTCTCTTGTCATGCCAAAGACCCTGGGTCAATTCCCAACATGGGTACAGTGTGTAAAGCCTATTTCTTTGTCTCCGCCGTGATATTGCTGGAATATTGCTAGAAGCGGCGTAGAATCATACTGACTTGCTCACTCACTTTTCGAGGGCTTGTGGATTTCACCAAGATTTAAGATCTTTCTGATACCTGGCTTTAGAATATCAATCACACAAAGCTGACAGTTTGAATTGACGTAAACAAACAACATGAAAAGCTCTTTTTACTGTTCTTCAAAAGTCGGGAGATGGCAGTTGATATATTTAAAATCATGGTATTAATTGATTACATGAATTTAGATTTCAGTCAAATTGAGTGAAATTGTTATTCTGAATATTTCAGTCATAATTCCTCCAGATAATGAGAGGCATCAGCATTGGCATTGTGCAAGACGTACAGTGTTGTTTGGAACTTCGGCATCAATGATGACATTTTTGGCATGGATAAATAATTATACTTTTGAGAAAATGTATAATTGAAATTCACACATCAATTCTGTCTTCCTATATCATCATTACTGGCACTGTATGTGTTGTTTCAGGGGATGGAGAAACGAGGAGCCTTGCTGGAGTACTTCCATCACACCTGCACTGCTAAGACAAAGGCTGTCAGGTGGGAATCTTGTCATGATCGGTCAACAGTTCAAACTGCCAAACTGGAAACACCTTCTTAACACCTCTTCTTAACACCTCATCAACATTTTTATCAAAAATCTATTTCCTGTGTAATTTCTCAACTAGGAAGAGCAGCTCACTTGCTTGCTTCACTCACTCACTCACTCACTCTTGCAGAGACTACATACTGGATATGCTGGAGTCGGACAAGAAAATCATCGTGTTCGCACATCATCAGGAGATGCTGGATGCAGTCGAAGATGCCATTGTGTCTTGTAAGGTAGGTAGCATTCAGAGGATGCCATTGTGTCTTGTAAGGTGAGCCGACATATCAGTGGATGCCATTGTGTCTTGTAAGGTGAGCAACATTCAGAGGATGCCATTGTGTCTTGTAAGGTGAGCGACATTCAGAGGATGCCATTGTGTCGTAAGGTAAGGGCATTCAGAGGATGCCATTGTGTCTTGTAAGGTGAGCAACATTCAGAGGATGCCATTGTGTCTTGTAAGGTGAGCGACATTCAGAGGATGCCATTGTGTCTTGTAAGGTAAGGGCATTCAGAGGATGCCATTGTGTCTTGTAAGGTAAGCGACAGTCAGAGGATGCCATTGTGTCTTGTAAGGTAAGGGGCATTCAGAGGATGCCATTGTGTCTTGTAAGGTGAAGCGACATTCAGAGGATGCCATTGTGTCTTGTAAGGTGAGCGACATTCAGAGGATGCCATTGTGTCTTGTAAGGTGACGACATTCAGAGGATGCCATTGTGTCTTGTAAGGTAAGCAACATTCAGAGGATGCCATTGTTTCTTGTAAGGTAAGCAACATTCAGAGGATGCCATTGTGTCTTGTAAGGTAAGCAACATTCAGAGGATGCCATTGTGTCGTGTTAGGTAAGGCGGCATTCAGAGGATGCCATTGTGTCTTGTAAGGTAAGCAACATTCAGAGGATGCCATTGTGTCTTGTGAAGTTTATAACATTCAGAGGATGCCATTGTGTCGTGTAAGGTAAGGGGCATTCAGAGGATGCAATTGTGTCTTGTAAGGTGAGCAACATTCAGAGGATGCCATTGTGTCTTGTGAGGTTTATAACATTCAGAGGATGCCATTGTGTCTTGTAAGGTAAGCAGCATTCAGAAGATGCCATTGTGTCTTGTAAGGTAGGTGACATTCAGAGGATGCCATTGTGTCTTGTAAGGTAGGTGACATTCAGAGGATGCCATTGTGTCGTGTAAGGTAAGCGGCATTCAGAAGATGCCATTGTGTCTTGTAAGGTAGGTGACATTCAGAGGATGCCATTGTGTCTTGTAAGGTGAGCAACATTCAGAGGATGCCATTGTGTCTTGTAAGGTTTATAACATTCAGAGGATGCCATTGTGTCTTGTAAGGTAAGCAGCAGTCAGAGGATGCCATTGTGTCTTGTAAGGTAGGTGACAGTCAGAGGGTGCCATTGTGTCTTGTAAGGTAGGTGACAGTCAGAGGATGCCATTGTGTCTTGTAAGGTAAGCGGACTTCAGAGGGTGCCATTGTGTCTTGTAAGGTGAACGATATCCATAAGATGCCATTGTGTCTTGTAAGTTAAGCCGATCTGGAAGGTGGTGAAAACATGCATCAAAGTCCTAGGTTATATTCTAGACACAACATTCTATGTATACCTACTTTCCAAGCTTATCTTGATGTCTCTTGTTTTGAATACTTTGTTTTCGTCCAATTCAGAATGGTCCTGAGTTTATTCGGATTGATGGCAAGACTTCCTCCGAGCAGCGGAATATCTACTGTAGACGGTTTCAGACCAGTGAGTCTGTGAGAGTGGCTGTCCTGTCCATCACCGCCGCCAACGCAGGACTCAACATGGCGGCCGCCTCTGTCGTTATATTTGCCGAGCTGTTTTGGAACCCAGGGGTACTTCTATGATAACTATTTGAGAACATTCAGAGCTTATATTTTTCCTTATCCTGACTCATGCTAATTATGCTTGTCTCCTTCCTCTTGCGAATGATAGTGGAACTCCTTGAAATCCCTTGAAGTTCCCTTCCAAAAAGTGGACATAAAATCACTCACCCATAGTGGAACTCCTTGAAATCCCTTGAAGTTCCCTTCCAAAAAGTGGACATAAAATCACTCACCCACGAGTAGCGTCCCTTTCCTCCCTTTTGGCGTCCAAATGGTCTCATGATTGGCCATATTTGTCACTCTCTCCTTCGCCCTTGAGGACGGTTGTGAGAGCACCTGGGTCCCTATACGGCACATATCCTTCTATATATTCGGACCTTACATCAAAATTATTGCTGTATACGGTTTTTAGGATTATATTCTACATTACGGTTTGAAATTTGATCTAAATTTTCTGTTGTTTGACATGTGTTTTCTTCATGTTTACATTTGATGAAAACTTGTATTCGTTGTAGGTACCTAGTGTCTGTGGCTGACCCTCATTTATTATGTCCTAATTGCACTGTTTCATGTTCTTTCAGCTCCTGCTGTAAGTTTTGTGTAAATTTAACTTCGGTTGAATTAAATCATGTGCTAAGGACTGGGTACGAAGGTATTCACAAGTCATGTCTAAATCGAGTGATTGCGCTGATAACCGTGTGTTAACCACTGCTGCAGATATTCTTAACTGCTGAACGTTTCTCGGGAGCAGGTCGATGTACCAGTGGTGAACGCCGGAGGCCATAAGAGATCATCGTCTACTCACGGTCTACTCACCTCAGCTCAAGACATGACTTGCAGGAGGGAGATCACAGTTGCACCCACTACAAGTAAGAAGGCTACTACTCAGACAGTCTTCAGATCCGCTAATACTACCGGACAGTCTGAAACCATATCTCCTATGGTGGACTCGAAGTCGAACGCTACATGAGGAACTTTTTGACAGAGGTAACACTCATCTCTACGTGGATGCCTCCCCTACAAGGATGGGGTGCGACTTCAACAACGGCGGCAGCAGGAAAGTGGTCGAAGCCAGATCAGAAGTCACATTAATCTGTTGGAGATGAAAGCAGTAATCAACGCTTACAACATTGGTCCAGCATACCATCGCCAGTCATGGAAAGACAACTCCACAGTGGCGCTGCTACATCAACAAACAATCAACAAGATCGACGGAATGGATGTTGCATCCAGAAGCATTCCAGTTCATCAGACAGACTATAGGATGCCACACTAATAGACCTGTTTGGAACTTAAGTTCAACAAACAGCTATCCCCAACGAATGGATCTGCACCGCATTCCAGATCATCAGGCATGGGCAATAGAGAACAAAGTTCAACAAACTAAGCATCTCATGGGCAACAGGAATCTCATGGGAAGACTAAACGCCACGCTTCCGCCTCTGCCCTGCACTGCTACCACAAGTACTACAGAAAATCAAGCAGACGGCTATGTTGCAACTAATTTTGGTCGCGCCCTACTGGCCAGCGAGGGTATGGTTTCCCGTCCTCATACAAGAACTCGGAAGTCCAACCCTGAAATTACCAGAATGGTCGAACCTACTCGTCCATCCACACACCAAGCAAGCTCACGGGAACCCGACACTGTTCCAGTTACACGCGTGGAGCGTATTGAAGCTTGCCTGAAGACTAGAGGGTACTCCGCCAGAGCAGCGAAGGCAGGTACACTAGCTCTACGCAGATCAACTCGCAACTTGTACGACGATTAGTGGCAGAGATTTGAACAATATGCAAAGAGGAAAGGCAACACATCCTCAAGTGGCAGAATACTTATGTCATCTAAGACAGACGAGACACTTAAAAGGTTCAACACTCTCAACTTACTTAGCTGCCCTCAGTACAGTTATCACCATGAAAACGGGTATCAAGCTGACCAAAGTACCAGAGATTCTGGCACTACTACGCTCGTTCAAGTTGGAAGACCAACAAAAGAAATTTAAGGCTCCTGCCTGGGATCTCAACATAGTTCTACAACATCTCACCAGTGATGCCTACGAGCCTCTAGAATGGACACCCTTTGAACTACTAACTCAGAAAACACTGTTCCTGATCGCCCTAGCAACAGCTGCAAGGATGTCAGAAATACATGCTCTGGACTTTGAACGAACACAATTTGAATAAAGACATCGTGACATCGTACATCTTGGACTAAGATGGGATTTTATCGCCAAGAACCATCTTCCTGGTCAGCCTGACAGACAGTTCCACATCCCAGCACTATCTACAGTCCTTGGGCCACAGGATAAGCAGGATCTATCCTTATGCCCAGTCAGAGCACTTAAAGTCTACTTACAGAGAACTAAAACAAGGAGATGAAAATTCAATCATCCCCTTATCCACCGAGACGTCCACGGAAGTCTCTCGGACAACGATATTGATCTGGATTGAGAGCCGTTATACTAAGAGCCTATAAAGCAGCAGGACTTGAGCCTCCACGAGACTCCAATCCACATGAAGTCAGAGCCCTGGCGTCAACACTTGCTCTGCATGGAAACTGCTCGATAACAACTATAATGGAGGGCTGCTTTTGGAGATTGAACACAGTGTTTGCCAACCACTACCTCAGAGACATTGCCACCGAAGACTTCTCAGGCATTCACCAGTTTGGGCCACTTGTTGTAGCACAACAACTAACGGTTCCACAAAGGCGCTGAGTAAATCACACCCCTTTTATCAGGTGACTTGTGAAAACCAACGCTCTGGAGAGCAATGGTTATAAGTCCATTCACACGTCTAGGACAGACTAGCATGAGTGATAGACCCTGTACTTGTATAGGACATACTTGTACATGAAGAAGGCTCGCATCTCCACTTGATGCCCGCATCAAGAGATTGAATTGCAATAGATAACTAATGGAATATTAGTATCTAAAATCCACACGAAAATGTCAGGAGAAGTTTCGGAAGAAATCTGACAAGTTGTAGTCCCCCCAGACTCATCAGAGAGAAGTTAAAAGAACAGAATCTTCAGCAGTGCCGTCATAAGTTCCCATGGGGGGTAATACAGGACGTAAATCTACAACCAGTGAATCCAGAACGTGGCCTGACCCACCACCGTTTCCGACGGATTCTGCAAGCATAATTAGCATGAGTCAGGATAAGGAAAAATATGTAATTTTCTGACTAAAATTGATACTTTATACTTATCCTGACTCATGAGGTTAGCCCTCCCAACCTCCCCTCTTACGGCACTCTGGATTTCCCAGCAGTAAATCAGTGTGTCGGGCTATAAAATATGGAGAGAGTGAAGAGCATGGGAGACAGGTGGCGCCGTTTCCCGCCAAAACCCCGGAAGGGAGGTGACTCCTGGTAAGTGATTTTACGTCCGCTTTTTTGAAGGGAGCTTCAAAAGGGGATTCAAGTGTTCCACTAGCATTCGGAAGGAAAGGGAGACAAGCAATAAGCATGAGTCAGGATAAGTATAAAATATCAATTTTATTCAGAAAATTACATGTTTACTAGATTCTCAGACAAAGATAAGAGTGAAATGATTTTCAAGTGTACCAATTCACCATGGGCAGTTTTACCAAACTTAGATATTGCTTTTAAATGTAGTTTTACTTACTGTAGAGTAAGCTGATCTATGGTAGTTCTAGATCTGGCACAAGTCTCGGCCAGAATCTGAATGGTTGAGGTATGTAGGGACCTGGTAGAAAATCCTTTTGTGGGACCTCACTATGGCTTCAGTTTAAAATATTGTAAGTCAGTTCATGTTTTCAGCATAAACTTGCCAGTGAAGACTGTACTATGTGACTTGAATGTCATCCTGTTTATCCAGTTTATTGTATCTTAGTTCTATGATGATCCATATCCTGGACTTATTTTCTCCAACAAAGATTTGTTTAGAAGTTTGTTAGATGATTAACACCCCACTCTGCAATATTACAGCTATATGACGGGGGTCTGTAAATAATCGAGTATGACAATTGACATCATGGGCATCGATCTACGTAATTGTGATACGATGTCATGTATCAACCAAGTCACCAAGTCTGACTACCCGATGCCGCTAGTCACCTCCTGCAACAGTAATGACAACTGATGATATCCCTGGCTGTTAAGCTCACATTTGATTGGATGGCTAATTTAGTATAATTTCAACCCAGATATATAGCTTAATAGAATTGCATCACACCCTTCAAAAGTTTTTGCAGCATCATAGCCCATGGTGTCATCACAATGGTAATACTTTGGGATACAAACCTAACTGAAATACCGTGCTGTGGAGTTCCACCGAACTCTGATACCGTTGTTGTATGTACTCATGAACTATGTACAGGGCTCCAGATAATTTTTCAACATCAGGAGTACGTACTCCATATTTTTTCGCTACAGAAGTACTGGAAAACCTTAAGGGTACATTTAGAGTACTGAGTGGAATTTAATGGCGTATCAGTAATCTTGTGTTTCGTTTCATATATGCACCACAACATTGATAGTCTTGTGTAAACAGGTCAATAAACAATAAACCAATATTTTTGTCATCTAAATACGTCTGTAAATGATTCTAAGACCGTACACTATTGCTGTGTTGCGTACATGCTACGTTTTCTAAATTATTTGCGACCGTATCGTGCATATTTTGTATCCGTACATACACCGATACGGCCCTTATCTGGCGCCCTGATGTTACCATAGTTACTGAACTATATTCCATCACATATAGATGCTATCTTTGGCAAAAGGTTCTGAGTCATACTATCCATAGATGTTGTGTAATTTTTTGTTGTTTTAAATTTTAGGCCACAATGAATGATTTAAGTGTTTATTTAAATGTTTCAAAAACGAGGTGGGAAGCATTTTACTGTTAATGTATATATCTTATCAACAAACTGTCCAAGGGATCTGTGAATAGTTTATATCAGCTGATTCACATTGCGAAAGAACAGTCTGATTTTCTATATTTGGTAGACAGATGGCCAGGAATGAAACAGTAACTAGTTTTTAGCTGACTGACTGACTGACTGACTGAGTTTGGTTTTACGCCGCTTTTAGCAATATTCCAGCAACATCACGGTGGGGGACACCAGAAATGGGCTTCACACATTGTACCCATGTGGGGATTCGAACCCGGGCCTTCGGCGTGATGAGCCAACGCTTTAACCACTAGGCTACCCCACCGCGCCCCTTTAGCTGACTGACCCTGAGTAGATTTTGGTTAGAATTGATCTCCAGGCTCTCAATTCACATAATTCCCAGACCACCATGAATAGGGTGAGAACTGAGTTGAACAACCAACTTTGCTGACAGAAGGAGATTTTACTGGTGCTTCAGAGGATTCATGTTCCCATGACGATGAATGTTGTCAGTCTTATGTTGTCCTTCACTGTTCAACTTGGGTTTTTTAAAATGTTGTCTTCAGATCCTGGTTCAGGCAGAAGACCGAGCTCACCGTCTGGGGCAGATGGACTGTGTCAATGTCCACTACCTGGTTGCCCAGGGAACTGCTGATGACTATATATGGTATGAAGTTGACTGTGACGTCAAGAAATCTTTTAAAACTAGTGTCATGAATAAAATTGGACAAGATCACAATTTTAAACGAAATGTAATAATTTGTTCCTAATTGCCTGACAAGGGAACCAAGTTGGCAATGCTAGGGAAATCTGTTTCTCTGTAAATTCATGTTTACCTTTACATTTTACACATGCACCATTAAACAGATATCAGTGAAACATGTGTAAAATATCTAAAACTGTGCACTTAGAAATGCCCTATGAGAACCCTTCTGTGATGTCTTTATACAAACCTCTACAAGTACATCTGACTGGGAATTTCCATAGAATACATAACAATGGATACTCATAATCTTAGAACTGAACATGTTATTGATTTGTCACTCTTACATGAGTGACAGATGAAAAATATATTTTAATGGTGAAATTCTGGCATACACATACCAGGGACATGTTTCATCCATCATTTCATGGCATCAGAAATTCCTCATAGCAGGGTTTGGCTTAAAGTGTACCTACAGCAAGTGAATGAATAATGTTTTACGACGCTTTCAACAATATCCCAGCAATATCATGGCAAGAAACACCAAAAATGAGCTTTACACATTGTACCCATGTGAGAATGGGTATTGAATCTGTGAACACCTTGACCACTAGTCTACTCCACCACCCTTTCATTAACAGGAATTTAGTGTTTCTTAACTTCAATTGCTTCTTGCCAAGCGTTAGATATTTCTATATCTACTAGTGTTTGGAATTGGTTAAATTCTCATAATTGATGATTGCTTCATTACCACCAATCAATCATCGAAAATAATTGGTTAGCGTCATTTATGAAATTTGTTAATGCACAAAAAATAAGGAAGAAAACCATGTAGTTATTTTGGGGGGTTTGGGCAAAATTTCACATCTCTAAAGGATGACTAGTATGTTAGGAACATAAATTTCTTGGTGTCTTTAAGATAATATCAGTGATGACTTGGAACGAGCTTATAATGCTTATGAAATGTAACAGACAAAACCAACCTTGTGAAAAATATTGTTGATGAAAACAAGTATTCCAGAATTGTTTGTGTTCGATTATGAGAAAATGTGATCGATTGCTTAGTCGTTTAGTCACTGCGACCAATCCTCGATTATTTCAATTAATTGGATCACCACTAATTTCTTCCCAATTTTCGTTTGTATGTTAGTGGTTATAGCGTTAGCTCGTCACGCCGAAGATTCATGTTCGATTCCACACGTGTACAATGGGTGAAGAACATTTCTGCTGACCTCTGCCGTGATATTGCTGAAATGTTGCTGAAAGCGGTGTAAAACAAAAACTTACTCCTGTGTTTGTTTCCAGGCCTCTCATACAGAGCAAGCTGGAAGTGCTGAGTAAGGCTGGACTTACCAAGGACAACTTCTCAGAGGCAGACACTACACACATGAAGGTGAACTCACAATTCACTCAGATATTCCAGAAATCTGTGATTAGGATTCAAATACAAGATTCACGCTGAATATGTTTCTTAGTGACACTCATCATGGCATGGCTGAAATATTTCCAATGTGACATTAGATATGAACCCCCTTTTAGTTTCTATGCAGTCTTCAAACCATTGATCTAGGATAAGAAGTAAATGTGCTGGGTGCTGCATCAGACCAAGTCTTCATACCACATCAAACTGACACACTGTGATACAACTGAAATACTGGTCAGATCTGGCATTAAGCCATGCTCATCCTCCCTGACCTATCTCCAAGCTATTTTATCTCAGCTTGACATCTTTGATATGAGCTTCAGTTTTGTGTCTTCATCCATCAGTGTGCTCACTAGCACTTCTTTAGCTTGTAGTTTACCAATCTTTTGCTTCAAATAGCTAACCGATTTTAAAAAATTTTATGGCTGTAACCAAACTGGCCAAACAATAGATAAGACCTTTTTTGTAAAACCCATTGGGAGTATTCCTTTCAAAATGTTCATAGAGGAACTATAAAAAAATAAACCTTGTCATTTTGTTTGTATCGTGCTTGGTCTGAGGATAATTATATGTCTTTGTTTGTGGGATTTTCGATTTAAATGTAATAAATATATGTGATTATTTTGTTGGATTCTCCTGATTTATGATAAATACATATCATATTATTTTTAGGATTCTAGATCAAAGGACATCATGGGTTATTTTGAGGACTCCTTCATTGAGGAAGAAGAGGAGGAAGGTGATAAGCCCAATGAAGAGTCTCCAAAACCGTCAACATCTCCTGCCACATCGCCAGCAAAACAGCTACACAGAACAGGTTGATAACCTTGAGTTGGATTTTGATCAGATATGTACAAGAGGTGCACTTATTGTGCCCCGCCATAACGCGGAACAGGGCACTACGTATTCAGCAGCATACATACGTCCCGATTCTTGTTAATGCAACATCTCATTAACCGCTGTACCCAATGTCTTCAAATTGGTGACTACGCAAACACTAGTCGATGTGGGTCACCTTGACCTTATTTTCAAGGTCACCACAACACTTTGACCACTTTTCAAACTCCTGACACGATATCTCATGTACCCAATGTTTTTCAGATTAAGTGACAGCCTACATTGGGGTATTACACAGACACCATTCAATTAGGGTGACTGTGACCTTATTTTCAAGGTCACTCGACACTGACCACTTTTCAAACATATGTCAACGAGATATCTCACGCACTGTTGTTGCCAAAGTCTGTAAATTTAGTGACAGCCTACATGGGGGTATTACACAGACACCAGTCGATTTGGGTGACCTTGACTTTATCTTCAAGGTCACCATGACACTTTGGCCACTTTTCAAACTTATGTCAACGCAATATCTTATAAAACGTTGCATCCAAATTTAGCCATAACGGGTATCAGGGTAGGGTAGGGTAATAGGGGGTGGGGTACCCGGGTAGAATATTTGGGCCTGTCCCAGCCCTAATACACACTGATACTGACAGTGGATGTGTGCATCTGCATCTATACATTCAAATCTACTATACTCCTATAATATCTTCAGAATTAGGAGACCGCCTCCGTGGTGTAGTGGTTAGAGCGTCCGCCAGGAGAGCGGAAGGTCGCGGGTTCGATCCCCGACAGCGTCATACCAAAAGACGTTAAAATATGGTACTTGTTGGTCCCTGCCTGGCGCTCGGCATTAATGGGTACAACAAGGACTGGTCGGCTCGGAGTCAGTATAATGTGTCTGAGTGGGGTTATCATGCTTCACTGCGGCATGGTATCTCAGTGGGCTAGCACTATAAAACCAGCTTCAGTCTGGGCTAGTACAAGCAGCCGCACATACACATACACTCGCAAGCACGTTGTCATATGAGCGAAATATTCCCAAGCACGACGTTAAACCCAATTTCACCTCACCTCACCTCAGAATTAGGAGAGGATTCTGAGAAGTGACCATGACTAAAACTACATTACAGAAAAGGTAATCTTCTACGTGACCAAAAGATAAAAACTAGGAAATATGTTATATTTCATTCTTCTTTAGCGGCGGGGGACATTGCCATGTTAGTAGCAAAGACTTGTTTGGATATTTTTTGGGTTGCTCAGTTTTCTGTGGACCTGCATATAACTGTGCAGAGTTGCCTCCCTTGGGCTTGCCAGAAGTTTGAGTTTGGGTTTCAATCCCAAATTGAGCCTAATTTTATGTTCAGATTTGTTAGCAAGGTACATGTGTTTGACCGTTGTGAGTTTTCTTATCCTCTCAAGCTCACATTCCCTCATACAGCTGAAGTCTCCAAGTAGAAATTCCCCCTCCCACGTAATGTTTACATGCTGTGATATGACTGGAACACTGATCTAGGCAGCGTCAACCAGAATTCTGTCTTTCCAAAGACATGTTTAGTATGCTTCAGGAAGAGGGGTAACTCTTTACATGATACTGATCCCCCTCTATATACCTCCAGCTCTCCCATAGCTCCCCCTTCTCCAAGTCACACCTCCCCCTTCTCCCCTTCCCCTTCTCACCCCTCCCTCCCTCTCTCTCAATCATTACTATCCTGCTTTCAGAACACAGCGCTCGTCAGTCAAATATTGACCAATTCTTTGTGACAAAGAGTGGAGACAAGCCCTCACAGGACTCAACGACCCAGGATGACGACTTTGATTCAGATGACTTCTATGACAACTTTACCAGTGAAGACATGCTGGCTCTCACAGATGATGTTGACTGGGATGAGGACATTCATGAGCCCGATCTTAAAAAGAGAAAACTGTGACAGGACATGTATAGGCACAGAGTCTATAGGTGGTCTCGTCTGAATGGTGTCCATGTAAACTTATGAATTGCCAGAGTTGTGTTCAACTTTACTGTACAAACACTGTCAGATGGGTAGGATATGAGTGTTAAACACTGTCAGATGGGTAGGATATGCGTGTTAAACACTGTCAGATGGGTAGGATATGCATGTTAAACACTGTCAGATGGGTAGCATATGCAGTTAAACACTGTCAGATGGGTAGGATATGAGTGTTAAACACTGTCAGATGGGTAGGATATGCGTGTTAAACACTGTCAGATGGGTAGGATATGCGTGTTAAACACTGTCAGATGGGTAGGATATGCATGTTAAACACTGTCAGATGGGTAGCATATGCAGTTAAACACTGTCAGATGGGTAGGATATGAGTGTTAAACACTGTCAGATGGGTAGGATATGCGTGTTAAACACTGTCAGATGGGTAGGATATGAGTGTTAAACACTGTCAGATGGGTAGGATATGTGTGTTAAACACTATCAGATGAGTAGTATGTATAAACAACTGACGTCATGAAGCCATTCCTGTTGATATTGAAAGGAAACTTGCTTCAAACACTATCAAATGAGTAGAATGTATGGATAACTGAGGTCATAGGGAATCCTCTAGCCATAGTGTTGGAGAAAGCCATCTTAAACATTAACATGTGTAGGTATGTATGGATAAGTGAGGTCCCTTGCAGAAGTGCCAACCCATACGATTCTATCGTATTTGTTACGATAAAACAACACAAAATACACGAGTACGATGGCAGTAAAAATATACGAATTTTAAAAATAATACATTAAATTAAATTATCAAATAGCATAAGTACCATACACAATAAATTACAGCCACATTTTATTCAGTATCAAGCTATATGTGGATACTTACTACTAATTTAGGTGAGTACAATGATAATCACAAGGTCATAGACTATATATTTACATTTCTTATTTAATATGAAAATTGTTTGGAAAAGTTAATACTATTTTTGGCCCCAAAATACTAATGTTGCATCAGTTTTTGGCCAAAATACTAATTGGGCTAAATTAGGGTTGGCATCTCTGCCCTTGTCAATTTATTGGAGATAAATCCATCAATACACACCTCGATGATTACGATTATATGAATAACTGATGTCAGTAAGGTTCACTAACAGTTCTGCTTCTTCTTCCTTAACACTTTGTGATGATATGTGTAATGTGTAGGTATATCGAAAACAAATATTTGAAAAAAATAGTGATATGATATTTTTTGTCAAGGGGATGCATGACATATTGAATTTCAGACATGAGAATATTTTGTAAATGTACATGCAAGTGCTATGTTTTCTGCTGTAAATTTGTTAAAATATCTACAACAAATAAAACTGTGATATGTAGCTTTGGAGTCATAAGCTGCAGTCATTAGAGTAGGCATAGTCACCATAGGACTATTTTCAAACTGACAATCCTACACTGATTGGCATGGTCCTGGGATGGTCACACCATCAACCAATCACTGGCCAGATCCAGGATGGTCACACCATCACCCAATCACTGGCCAGATCCAGGATGTTCACCTCATCATACAATCACTGGCCAGATCCAAAGATGCTCACACCGTCCTCCACTGATTTGTCAGGTCTGTGGAATTGCACACCATCAACCAATCACTGGCCAGATCCAGGATGTTCACACCATCAACCAATCACTGGCCAGATCCAAGGATGCTCACACAATCAACCAATCATTGGCCAGATCCAGGATGCTCACACCATCAACCAATCACTGGCCAGATCCAGGATGTTCACACCATCAACCAATCACTGGCAAGATCCAAGGATGCTCACACCATCCTCCAATCACTGGCCAGATCCACGATGTTCACACTATCAACCAATCACTGGCCAGATCCAAGGATGCTCACATCATCAACCAATCACTGGCCAGATCCAAGGATGCTCACATCATCAACCAATCACTGGCCAGATCCTGGATGCTCACATCATCCTCCAATCACTGGCCAGATCCTGGATGTTCACACTATCAACCAATCACTGGCCAGATCCAAGGATGATCACACCATCCTCCAATCACTGGCCAGATCCAAGGATGTTCACACCATCAACCAATCACTAGCCAGATCCAAGGATACTCATACTATCAACCAATCACTGGCCAGATCCAGGATGCTCACACCATCAACCAATCACTGGCCAGATCCAAGGATGTTCACACCATCAACCAATCACTGGCAAGATCCAAGGATGCTCACACCATACTCTACTGATTTGTCAGGTCTATGGAATCGCACATCATCAACCAATCACTGGCCAGATCCAAGGATGCTCACACTATCAACCAATCACTGGCCAGATCCAAGGATGCTCACACTATCAACCAATCACTGGCCAGATCCAAGGATGCTCATACTATCAACCAATCACTAGCCAGATCCAGGATGCTAACACAATAATCCTATCACTGGCCAGATCCAAGGATGCTCACACTATCAACCAATCACTGGCCAGATCCAAGGATGCTCACACCATCAACCAATCACTGGCCAGATCCAAGGATGCTCACACAATCAACCAATCACTGGCCAGATCCAAGGATGCTCACACTATATACCAATCACTGGCCAGCTCCAGGATGCTCACACCATCAACCAATCACTGGCCAGATCCAAGGATGCTCACACTATATACCAATCACTGGCCAGCTCCAGGATGCTCACACCATCCTCCACTGATTTGGCACATCCAGGATGCTCACACATGTACCATGGCTGGGTAGGTTCCAGGTATATACCATTCACCACTTATTGACAGGATCCAGGGATGCCCACACCTTCAACCACTGACGGGACATATTGAAAGATGCTCACGCTATCAACCACTGCTGGGCCTGGGTCAGCTCCAAGGATACTCTCAGCATCCACCACTTATTGTCCCAATCCATGGAAGCTAAACCACTGACGGCCCGGTCGAAAGATGCTCTCACCATCCTTCACTGATTTGCCAGGTCCATGGTATCTCTCACCATCCTCCACTGACTGGCCAGGTTGAAAGATGCTCACACCATGATCCATTGACTGGCCAGGTCGAAAGATGCTCACACCATGAACCATTGACTGGCCAGGTCGAAAGATGCTCACACCATGAACCACTGACTGGTCAGGTCGAAAGATGCTCACACCATCAACAACTCACTGGCCAGATCCAGGATGCTCACACAATCAACCTATCACTGGCCAGATCCAGGATGCTCACACTATCAACCAATCACTGGCAAGATCCAAGGATGCTCACACCATCAACCAATCACTGGCCAGATCCAAGGATGCTCACACAATCAACCAATCACTGGCCAGATCCAAGGATGCTCACACTATCAACCAATCACTGGCCAGATCCTGGATGCTAACATAATCAACCAATCACTGACCAGATCCAGGATGTTCACACTATCAACCAATCACTGGCCAGATCCAGGATGCTCACACTATATACCATTCACTGGCCAGATCCAGGATGCTCACACTATATACCAATCACTGGCCAGATCCAGGATGCTCACACTATCAACCAATCACTGGCCAGATCCAGGATGCTCACACTATCAACCAATCACTGGCCAGATCCAAGGATGCTCACACCATCAACCAATCACTGGCCAGATCCAAGGATGCTCACACAATCAACCAATCACTGGCCAGATCCAAGGATGCTCACACTATCAACCAATCACTGGCCAGATCCAGGATGCTCACACTATCAACCAATCACTGGCCAGATCCAGGATGCCACATCCAAGGATGCTCACACTATATGCCAATACCAACTGGCCAGATCCAGTATGCTCACACTATCAACCAATCACTGGCCAGATCCAGGATGCTCACACTATCAACCAATCACTGGCAAGATCCAAGGATGCTCACACCATTAACCAATCACTGGCCAGATCCAAGGATGCTCACACCATCAACCAATCACTGGCCAGATCCAAGGATGCTAACACTATCAACCAATCACTGGCCAGATCCTGGATGCTCACACTATCAACCAATCACTGGCCAGATCCAAGGATGCTCACACTATATACCAATCACTGGCCAGATCCAAGGATGCTCACACCATCAACCAATCACTGGCCAGATCCAAGGATGCTCACACAATCAACCAATCACTGGCCAGATCCTGGATGCTAACATAATCAACCAATCACTGGCCAGATCCAGGATGTTCACACTATCAACCAATCGCTGGCCAGATCCAGGATGCTCACACTATCAACCAATCACTGGCCAGATCCAAGGATGCTCACACTATATACCAATCACTGGCCAGATCCAGGATGCTCACACTATCAACCAATCACTGGCCAGATCCAGGATGCTCACACTATCAACCAATCACTGGCAAGATCCAAGGATGCTTACACCATCAACCAATCACTGGCCAGATCCAAGGATGCTCACACTATATACCAATCACTGGCCAGATCAAGGATGCTCACACCATCAACCAATCACTGGCCAGATCCTGGATGCTCACACTATATACGAATCACTGGCCAGATCCAAGGATGCTCACACTATATACCATTCACTGGCCAGATCCAAGGATGCTCACACTATATACCAATCACTGGCCAGATCCAAGGATGCTCACACTATATACCATTCACTGACCAGATCCAAGGATGCTCACACTATATACCAATCACTGGCCAGATCCAAGGATGCTCACACTATATACCAATCACTGGCCAGATCCAAGGATGCTCACACTATATACCAATCACTGGCCAGATCCAGGATGCTCACACCATCAACCAATCACTAGCCAGATCCTGGATTCTCACACTATATACGAATCACTGGCCAGATCCAAGGATGCTCACACTATCAACCAATCACTGGCCAGATCCAAGGATGCTCACACTATATACCATTCACTGGCCAGATCCAAGGATGCTCACACTATATACCAATCACTGGCCAGATCCTGGATGCTCACACTATATACGAATCACTGGCCAGATCCAAGGATGCTCACACTATCAACCAATCACTGGCCAGATCCAAGAATGCTCACACTATATACCATTCACTGGCCAGATCCAAGGATGCTCACACTATATACCAATCACTGGCCAGATCCAAGGATGCTCACACTATATACCAATCACTGGCCAGATCCAAGGATGCTCACACTATATACCAATCACTGGCCAGATCCAAGGATGCTCACACTATATACCAATCACTGGCCAGCTCCAGGATGCTCACACCATCCTCCACTGATTTGGCACATCCAGGATGCTCACACATGTACCATGGCTGGGTAGGTTCCAGGTATATACCATTCACCACTTATTGACAGGATCCAGGGATGCCCACACCTTCAACCACTGACGGGACATATTGAAAGATGCTCACGCTATCAACCACTGCTGGGCCTGGGTCAGCTCCAAGGATA